GACATTTCTAGAAATGAAAGAAAACGTTCTCTCACTTTATAGCTAATACATTTCCATGGCCTTGGAGGTAAGAAATCCAGGGGCGTTTGTTTCCACACACAGCTGGATAACGAGGTGGCATGGGGTGTGTAGGCAGATTGGAAGGGAGGCAAAGCAACCTTTTGACTTCTTGGAGCTGGGAGGGATTATTGGGGAGAGATAGGTGAGTGGGGAGTTTGAACTGGGAAGTCTGAGAGGCTGCATATTGGAACAGGGACATGAAGGGAGCCAAGGAGCAGAGCCATCCAGCTTGGTTGTTGTTCCCCCAAAACAAGTCTAGGGTTGGACATTGTCCCATTTTATAGATGGAGGCTGAGGCACAGGGAGGTTAAGTGACCTGCCCAGGGTCACATAGCTGAAAAACAACAGTGCTAGGAGTTGATCCCATGTTCTTCTGCCTCTGAAGTCCATATGTCAGGGCCACCCAGTGCCTAAGTCCTCCTTGCAAACTGGAAACAAGACTTTCTGTCCTTTGGAGCTGACCTCATTGGGGGCTTCTAACACATTCGTGGATGGAGTTTGTGAATACACTGCCCTCATGTGAAGGTGGGGTCAGCCTCGGGGGTTCAGAGATGTTGGGCTATCTGCTCAGGGTTGCACAGCATGGATGGTGGAGTCAGAGCTGGAGGAGCTGGAGAAAGGGAGCCCTTGGGGCTTGCAGATAAGGGATTGGGGGGGTTTCCTGGAGGAGACAACCTGAAGCCTCGGGATTCGGGGATCCCACTGCCTACCAAGGCTCTTCCTTCTTCTTCCACAGGGACAAGCTGGCAGAGCTCCACGGAAACATGTTTGTAGAAGAATGTGCCAAGTGTAAAACGTGAGTGCCGTGTGGCAGTGGGGGCCCCCTATGGCATCATTCCCCAGTTAGGCTCTGCAGAAGGGCCTTGTGAGTTGAACCTGGTATTCCCAGAGACTTGCGGGATGGGATGAGACTTGGAAGGGGGGGTTGTCTTCCTTCTGTGGTGGTGTATTTGTTTCCGGTGGCTGCTGTAGCAAACTCAGTGATGTACAGCAGCCGTCTGATAGTCTGGAAGCCAGAATCTAGAAAGGAAGGTGTTGCACGAAGGGAGTGCTCGCTCTGAAACCCACAATCCTACCCTGCCTCTTCCACCTTCTGGTGGCTTCCAACACCCATGGCCATAGACACCTCACTCCTGCCTCTGTCCGTTGTTATGTGCCCCTGTGTCCCCTCTTATAGACACCAGGGCCATGTGGATTAAGGGTCATCCTTCCCCAGCATGACCTCATCTGAACTCATCACATCTGCAAAGATCCTGCTTCCTCACATTGTGAGGTCCTGGGAGTTAGGACCCCAACATACCTTTTTGGCTGTAGAGTGTGACCCCATTTTGGGGAGGCTGAACCAGAGCCCCTCCTGGAGCAGGTAGGCTGTGGCTGTCTCCCCCTGCTGGGTAAGCAGCCTCACAGGAGTGGGTTCCTTGGGGGACACCTCCCTGCAGGAGGACGCTCTGCGATCACACCACACGTGGGGCCCCCACATTAAAAACTTTTCTCCAGAATTTTTGGGAAAAATTTCAAACCTATAGAAAACTCACGAGAATTTTCCAATGGTTCACCTAAACCAAGAAGTAATGACTTTTTCTCTCAAGGGCCAGATAGATATTCCCAGCTTCGTGGGCAGGCATGACCGTCGTGACTGCTGGCTCTGCCCTTGTCTGGCCAGGAGCACACCTGGGAGCGGGTGTGCCAGCACAACTTTCTGTACAGAAGCTGGGTTTAATCCTGGGCCCCAGAGTTTGCTGGTCCCCTCCCGGGCTGGTTAGATAATTGTGACAAATTCGCCACAGTGTGTTTTTCCTTCTGTCTCTGTTACTAGTATTCCCTGCCTGTTGGAAAGCAAAGTGACAGACTGCCTCCCCCTCTGCCTCTAAACTACAAGGAGCCGCACTGTTCTCTCCCACAGCCAAAGTGCAGACATTAAAGTTGGGCAATGTGATTCCATCCCCAGTGCGCCCACCGCCACTGGTGCTCTCCTGGCCCAGGGTCATGCTTTGCATGCCATTGTCATGTCTTTTGTCTCAATCTACAACACTTTCTGACCTCTTATTTCCATGCTGCTGACATTGTGAAGCAGCCAGGCCAGCTGTTTCCTCATGCTCACATTCCCTCCCCGCTCCCTGGGAGAAAATCTGGGGCTAAAGAGGCAGGCCGTGGGCTGACCGCACCGACCCACCGTCTCCTCCCCCACACAGGCAGTATGTCCGGGACACCGTCGTGGGCAGCATGGGCCTCAAAGCCACTGGCCGGCTCTGCACAGTGGCCAAAGCAAGAGGGCTGAGGGCCTGCAGGTGAGTGACCCCTCCCAGTTTCCTGCAGGGGGGTGGTTGCTGTGTGTCCACACTGACTCTTCCACCCCACCTTCACCATGGCAGGGGGGAGCTGAGAGACACCATCCTGGATTGGGAAGACGCCCTGCCTGATCGGGACCTTACTCTCGCAGATGAGGCCAGCAGGTCTGATCCCCATACGAGCCCAGGGTAGGGCTGGGGGAGAACAGTGAAAACACAGCCAGCTCCAGCACTGAGCAGGGGACTCCAGCCCAGAGGTAGTGTCAGGGAAGACTTCCTGGAGGAGGAGTCCGGCACCTTCTTTGGGCCTGTTTCCCCCAGATCATGGCAGCTTTTATGTCCTGAGCCTTCCCACACACCTGGCCCTGGCTTTCACATACTCCAGGCCTTCCCATAGCCTGAGGTGGCTGCTGCTTCTGGCCCATTTTATGGGCAAGAATACAGGCTTTGGCAAAGTGACCTCTCCGTCCAGTGTTACTTAGATGAGAAGTAACTGAACTGGGGTTCAAGGAGCCCAGCTATCAAAGCTTCTGCCCAGATCAACAGGGTAGGGCGGTGGCTCAGGCAGAAGACTAATGGCAAGGGCAGGATTCAGGGACGTTGGGACTGGCTTGGGAAGCATAGGCCTTTGAGAGCAGAGATGGGTGTAGTATGAGCCCAGGTCACTGCGCTGGTGTCTTGGCACCCGAGGGGGGCTGAGGCTATGGGGTTGAGGGAGATGTCAGCATCCCCATCAGCCTCTTGGGCAGGAGAAGGCTGCAGAGGCCTTCAAGGAGGGGCTCAGGGTAACCCCTTCGCCTGGCCCCAGGAACGCAGACCTGTCAATCACTTTGGGCACCTCCCTGCAAATCCGGCCCAGCGGGAACCTGCCATTGGCCACCAAGCGCAGAGGAGGCCGGCTGGTCATCGTCAACCTTCAGCCCACCAAACACGTATGTGCGGGAGCCTGCCCCTGACATTCCCTGGTCCCGAACCCCCACAAGACCCGGCCTCCACTAGCTCTTCCCGTCTTCCGTAGGACCGCCACGCAGACCTGCGCATCCACGGCTATGTAGACGAGGTCATGACCCGGCTCATGAAACACCTGGGCCTGGAGATTCCTGCCTGGGATGGCCCCCGCGTGCTGGAGAAGGCATTGCCGCCTCTGCCCCGCCCGCCTGCCCCCAAGCTGGAGCCCAAGGAGGAGGCACCTGCCCATCCCAGCAGCCCTGCGCCCGCCAGTCCCAAGCAGGAGCCCAAAGCCGAGCCTTGCACACAGCACAACGGGTCAGGGCCTACTAGCCCCAAAAGGGAGCAGCTGGACAGTCCTGTCCCCCACAGGCCCCCCAAAAGGGTGAAGGCAGAGGTGATTCCCAGCTGACCAGGGGACTCAGGGGAGGGTGGAACTTTTTTGTAGAAACCACGGTTTTGTTTTCTAACAAACACTTTGTTACTTGTTTCTCCCCTTTGAGGGGTACAATTCAGTATGCCGAGAGTGAGGTTCCAAGTCCTGGGGCAGTTTTGCCTTTGTGTCTCTCTTTGGCTTTAAGGGCTTCTGGTGGGTACCTGGGAAAGAGCACCCACTGCTCCCCACACCTTGGACCGTGACCTTGGAGCTGACACCCCAGGCACCTGCACTGCCCCATGCCTCAGCCCCTGACTCAGGATGCTCTGGGGAAATATGCCTTGCCGGGCCCTGGTTTCCAGACTAATGGGGATATTACCCCCCTCTGCTCCTTGGGCTCTCACACTCCTCAACTCCTGCCTCCCCAAGACACTTCACAGCCCCTCAAGGAAGGGAAGGAGGCAGAATCACTCTTTGGGGGACAAACTCAGGCTGGGACAGTATGGAGGCCGCACTCACTGCCTTTGGGGCTGGAAGGAGAACTGGGTGGGCCCACCTGGCGTCCTCCAGACTTCCCAAAGTCTTCAATGCAATAAAAGAACTTGCATATGAGTCTGTGTTTAATTTACACTACCTAGATCCTGGGCCCTGAGGACAGGAATGTGTGGCCAGCACAGTGGAAATTTCTGTGCAACCCCCGCCTGTTGTGAATGAGGGTGATGCTGAAGCTGGAGGTCCTTGAGCCCTTAGTTTGTAATTACAAACTTGTATGTGTGATTTTTTAAAATATTTGCCTTCCTCTAGTAGCCCGTGAGCTCCTCGAGGAGACTGGACACATCTTTAAGGCGCGATTGCTGCTCCCTGAGCGCCTGCGCACGGTGGGAGGGGTTGGGGAGGAGAGAGAGGGGCAGGACGGCTCGTTGAGGAGACAGCGCTGGCTCGGCCCGGCCCATTCCTCCGCGGTTGTGACCTTGGGCTGGTCATTTCGCTACCGACCCTTCAGTTTCTCGATCGGTAAAACAAGCAAGGTGGAAGGCTGCGCCGACCCCTTTGAAAACACTCTTACAGAGACCCTGGAGCGCCCCCAGAGCCTTCAGACCACGCGCTCCGGGCGCGCCCTTAGCGCCACCGCCGCTCTCCGAGGTGCTGAAGGTGCGCCTGGCAGCTCGCCGGCCATAGCTCCAGAGGCGGCTGGTAGAGTGCGTTCTGGGGTACCCGCACCTCACTCCCCTATCCCAGACTGGCCTAGCCCCTACTCGAGATCTGGAGCCCCTAGACCCCACTTCAGCCCCATCCCAATGCCTCTGTGCCAGCTGTGTTCTGTCAACAATATTTTATTAAGGATTAACAGCAGTTTTAGAAAAGGGAATCGCCATGGGCCGTGGCCACCCCGAATTTGGAACCCAGCTCATTCTCTGGAGCCAGGATCCCTGCGGTCTTAGCTGCTTCCTCCTCCCAGTGCGACCGGCCGGGCAGGGAGGCGTCCCGGGCAGGGAGCTGGTGAGGCATGCTGTGCCAGTGTGGTTGCTTGGGTCTGTGGCTCAGTCTGCATGCGCCTGCCTGTCTCTGCCGGCTGGGTCAGTGTATTTCTTAAGGCTTTGTGGCCTTGCTTTTGAGCATCAGTTTCTGCAGGTGTCTGGGTCCCGGGAGAGTGTGAATTTGTGCATGGCCATCCTGGCATGTCCACTGCATCTCCACCTTGCCTCCAGTCCCCACACCTGTTGTCCACTGAGTATGCACTGAAGTGGTCCTGGGCAGAGGGGCCTGGGGCATGTCTGGGTCGTGCTCACAACTCCTCCCCTGCTGCCTCCAGACCCAAAAGCCCTGGGCTGAACACTGGTTTAGGCAAGGCCCAGTCCAGCAAGGTGGCCCAGTCCAGCAGGGAGGCCCAGTCCAGCTCCATTATGTTGCCCTGGACCAGGGTCGAGTTGTCCAGTTCCTCTGTCGAGTTGTCCATAGCTTGCACGTCTTGGGATTCCCAGTCTGCCCCAGGGCTTCCTGGAGGGTCTTCTTGGGGTGTGCCAGTCTTGAGCTGGGGTCCTGGAGCATCGGAGCCTGGCGTGATGTCGGGGGCCACACGGGATGCAGCGTCGTTGTGCAAAGTTCTGGAGAAAACTGAGCAAGGGTTTGGAGGCCATGAGGGCTGGAGTAAAGGGCTGGTATCCCTTCTTCCCTAGCCCACAGCCTCAGAGGCACGGTATGGGGGCTTGTCCCAGGGGATTGAAGTGGGAGCCCACTTACCTCGCACAGGTGCGAAATCTCCGGGGCTCTCCGCTTTGTTGGGGGTGAAGGGGCTGATGGAGGGGAGGACGATGAGGGCGAAGGAGAGCAGCAGAACCTGGCAGAGATGGGGGTGGGGTCACCCCATCCCACTCCCTCCCCTGCAAGCTTGCTCATCTCATGGGCAGGGAAACTGACACCCAGAAGACTGACTGGGGCGTGAGCTGGGGCTCAGGACCGGGCTCCTACTCCTCTCACCTCCCCGCTGCAGTCCTTCTGCCAAGGCCTGGGAACCACCTTATGGACAATTGGGGCCAGCAGAATTGGGGCCAGGACTTACAGCTATGCAGGTGCCCGTTTGGGCCGACTTGTTGGTGGACTGTACCACAATGGCCTGCAGCTTCTTCAACTGCTCCAAGAGGGACCTTGGAAGGAGCAAGCAGACTTTGCTGAGCCATACAGGACCTGGATCTGGCTCCCCATTCATATCTAGGGACCCCCCCCAACCTGGTTGATGTCTGAATTTCACCTCTGAAGACTCTGCTGCTCTCAAAAGTCTCAGATCCTCCCTCTTTGAGTCAATAAATCATAGAACACCCCACCCACTTCTTTGCCACTCCTCTCCCACATCCAGTCACCATCATGGCTCCTGGAGGTCAGCCCAGCCCCTGCTGCCCCCCTAGGTTTCAAGCTCCATGCAGCAGCCCAAGGGTGCTTTCGATTGCAGATTCACTTCTCCCAGCCCTCCCAAGGCTCTCATCCCTTTAGAGTGAAAAACCTAAGTTTCCCCTGTGGCCCACAAGTCCTTGCATGACCCGCCCCTATTCCCCCCTGCCCTCGGCACCTCCCTCTTCCCCTTTGGATAACTCTGCTCCAGCTAAATTGTTCTCCTTGCTGTCCTGTCCTTCAACACACAAGCATTGCTGTCTCAGGACCTTTGCACTGGCTGTTTCTTCTGTGCCAAGGACATGTTCCTCCAGCTCATTTTGTAGCTGGTTCTTTCTCATCCATCATGTCTCATAGGTGTCCCCCACCCCAGGACCTTTACTCTGCTTTACTTTACTGTGGCTATCATTATTTGAATAATCTTTTGTATATTTTTGTCTTGAGTATGTCTCCTACTGGACCATGAGTTCTTTAAGTGGAGGGACTGTGTCTGTTTTCTTCCATGTTGTGGTCATAGTGCCAAGAACGATGCCTGGTGCAGAGTAGATGCTAAACAAATATTAAATGACACACCCCTTAGATAGAATCACCTGTAGTTATCCAATATGCTGCGCCCCTAACCTTTAGCCATTGTATGTGCCATTTCTTCCACTGGGAGCAGTTTTTCCCTAGTGAACTCTTAAACATCCTTCAAGATCCCAAATACAAATTCCCTCCTCCATGCCACTTGCTTCATTTTCATATGGAGCCCTTAACCACTGCTCTCTCCTGCCATCAGACAAGTGGTCCCCACCCATGTCCATCATCCTGAAAGAGACTCTGGGAACTACCCCCCCTTCTCTGCCCCAGTTAGACCAAGACTCACAGGTTCTGCTTCTCAAGCTGTAAGACCTTTCTCTGAAGTTCCTGGTTCTGAGCAGTACAGGCTGACATTCTGCAGGGAAAATGCCAGAGTGAAATTCAGAACATGCCTGTCACCATCCAAGTGATGTCTCCCTGTGAGGCCCCACTTTACAGGCAAGGAACCTCAGGCCAGAGAAGGAAGCCACTCAGCCAGTCACTTGGCAAGTCTGTGATGGCCAGGATTCGAACCCAAGAACCCTGATCCTCATTCCCAACTCTGCATTGATGTGGGTGGCTTCATTCAATTCTGAGTCCACAGGGTTGGGAAGGGAAGACCAAATTCAGGCAGTGTTGCTTTCAGAATATGGCATAGCAGGGCGATCAGGATTCAAGGAGACCTGAGTTGTAATCCTCAACTTGCCTGTGACCTTACTTTCTTACTCAACCCCTCATCTGTAAAATGGAGATAATTAACTAGCTCATAGAGTGAGAGGGAGAATTATATGAAATAAAATTGGTAAGGGGTTTAGCAGATTGCCATTGAAGAATAAAACCATGGTGATCATTTCCTCCTGGGTTCTGGGGTCCAGGCTGGGGGATTCTACATTTCCCATCCACATCCATCCATGAATGTATTTTTTGGGCCAGATCACTCAGATGTGGAGTTGAAATACTCAAATCAGGGGATGAGGATGAGCATGAGTTGGGTACATCTCCACCCCCAAAGCAGAGGTGTGTGGATCATGAGACATGCAAATGTGGGGGCAGAAGTTTTATAGGGAACTTTTGGATAAATCCCCATCTTGAGACCTGAGGACTCTTAGACGTGCCATAGACCTGCCATATTGGACAGCAGATGCAATTACATACTTTGTTCTCCTGGAAGGAAAATGAGAATCTAGGGTTCCTTTTCCAGAAGAGAAATCAAGAATATCTCATCCAGGGAGAGAACAGACTCCCTCCCACCACCACAGAAAGGCTCTTCTATAAATGTAAACTACATGACAATGACAATAATATAAAACAAAATGTGTGAGATGAAGCTAAAGCAGTGCTAAAAGGTAAATGGATAGTCTTACAATATTCAGCAACCTGAGCAGACACATTTTCAAATTAGCAAAAAATAAAAAGATAAGGAAGATGGAGGTAGGGAGAAGGAGGAGGACGAGGCAGAGAAGAATCTCCCTGAAAAATAAAGCAGCAAGAGCAGATGTAATAAATATCTTTCTAGCTGAAAGAACTAGAAAACAGGGCCTCCCCGGTGATGCAGAGGTTGAGCGCTGGGTTGCGAAGCTGCCTGCAGCCTCTGCAGCACCGGTTCGATCCCTGGCTGCTCCCCGGCCACCGGAGGAGGGTCCCACATGGCGCACAGACCTCTCCTGCCGCCCGCTGCTCCCCTCAGCACTATACTTCGTCAGTCTGCCTGTTCTGTTCTCCGCTCTGGCTCTGGTGAATCCTCTCACCCTCCCGCACTTCTGACTGTACCCAACGCTTGTATAAATAAATAAATAAATCTTTAAAAAAAAAAAAAGAAAACAAAAATACAATTAGGTGGGAGGAAAAACCAGTACTTCATCCTCTGAAAAGATTAATAAACAAACTGGTGAAACTGGTCAAGATAAAGAAGAGAGAAAGCAAGAGCTATTAAATAACTAGACAGCACAGAGAGTAGAAATAATAGTGGAGAATTAAGAACAATTTCATGTCGGACCTCCCTGATGGCACAAGGGGTTAAGAGGCAACCCATGAAGCTATCTTCAGCCACTACAGCACAAGTTCAATCCCCGGCCAGGGAGATACCCACATGGTGCAGCAGACCTCTCTGTCTTGCCTGCTGCTCCCCTCAGCAGTGTATTTCAGTCAGTCTGCCTGTTCTGCTCCCCACTCTGTCTCTGGTGAATCCTCTCACCTCCCCCCACACACACCTCTGGCCTGAACCCTAGCTCTTGTATGCATAAATAAATAAATCTTTAAAAAAGAGAGAGAGAAAAGAACAATTTGATGTCAATAAATTTGAAATGGATGACTTCCCTGGAAGCTATGACATCCCAACACTGACTCAGGAAGAAATAGAAAAGTCACATAGACCTATAATGTTCAGTAAAGTCACTCTTGTTTTAAGCAGGGAGCTCATCCCAAGCTCACTTTATGCGTCTGTTACAAAATAAAATGGAGCTATCCCCACCCCCATTTCCTCAATGAGCTAAAAGAGGTAACTGGCTGAAATGGGGTGCACAGTTTTTAAGTTGAGGAAGTTCTTCCAAGAATGAGCGCCATCTGTTCTCCCCAATCCAAGGAAGGATGACCACTCTGAGGACCAGGGATGCTCAGACCAGGGAAGTAAGTATTCTGTCTTCAACAAGACGGATAATACCTCCTGCTTTCTTGGCACCACATCGTGCAAGGGATAAAAGGACACTAAAGCCTTGCTCTGTGCCAACTGCAGGCCTATCTCCATTCTCGCAATGCACATGAAACACGGTCTCTCCCAGCGAGGGAAAGCGGCTCTGATTTTACCAGGCCCTATAAACCTGAACGCAGCCACCTTACACTCCTCCTTCTGGGCCTCAGTTTCCACCCTCAGTGTGTTGGCCAGGGTCCCCAGTCTTACCGAGTTTCTAGGCCATCAATATATTCCTTCTTCTTTTTCCGACTCTCTTGGGCAGACTGTTTGTTCCGGATTTTCCGGCGGATTTTTTTCAGCACTCGCTCCTCATACTGAGAGTAAAATGGGGAAGAGGCTGAGTCAGTCTGGAGGATCCACTCTGCGGTCCAGACCCAAGAACTTCCTCCCATTCTCATCCCAAGTGAGTTACCCCAGGCTCAAGGGTTTGGGGACAGTTTCCTGATGACTCGAAGAGCAGCTCTTCTCTCCTCCCTAAATTCTGTAGGAGAATCCTGGGTCCTGATGGTCTTCCCAGCTTCCAGTCCCAGCTAGTAACTGGTGACCAGACTGTGCGCTGGTACAATTGCGCCCCCTTCTCACTGTCTATGCGACCAGCACCTTTCCCTGGGCCAGCCGGGATCAGGACTCTTCTGACACGCTCAGGTACTGATATTGGGTGAAATGGGCTGGGAGCCCACACCAGCTACTCAGTTACTGATCGTTGCCTGTGTGGAAGGTGTGGGAGTGTGGGAGCAGGCTACGCAGTTACAGAGTCTTAGATAACACCAGGTAGGGAAAATGTCAGCTGCCAATTCAAACATTTATGAAATGTGGTATGGTACAATCAAACAGGTCTGCAGGATACACCTGGACTTCAGGTCACCCATTTTATGAGCTCTGGCCTACAGGAGCTAAGGCAGAAGGAAGCTCGCAGAGCCAAAACCGTGCCTTGCCAGCCCCAAATCCACCCTTGGTTCCTGGCTGGCAAGCACTGCCCACCATGTTGGCTTTTAGGATGACTTTTCTGGGTCTGGTAGCCGACACATCCTAACATTCTAGTGTGGCAGGCCTCAAGGTGAGACTCATGGGTATGTAGCACAGGAAAGGGGGTGAGATCCAGGGGTAGGGGTCCCACTGACTCGCCTTGGTGAGGGGCAGCTGGGTGGGCAGCATGATGCCTTCTTTGGCCAGCAGCTTCTTCTCATCCTCTGTCAACACCAGTTCCTGACTCTGCCCGATCCCAGGTCGCAACAGGTGAGGGGCTGTGGGGTGATGCGGCTGCTAAGGAAAAACCAGGGAAAATGCATTGGGGCAAAGACACAACAGACAGCCTCTGGGAAGTCAAAGAGGCATTCAATTTAAGAAACCATCAATCCATCCACTGCAGAGTCCTCACTGGCACTCAGGCTCAAAAGCACCCGTGCAAAGCCTCTTGACCCAGTGATTCCACTTCTGGGGATTCCACAGATCCCTCACACTCATGCAAAGTGATGTGCATACAAGCTTTTCATTTGTTTGACAAATAATCATCTGTCAGCAACTTACTGAGCATCCACTACATGTCAGGCACTGTTCTAGGCTCTGAACACTCATAACTACGCTGTCTGCAACAGCAAAGTATTGGAAGCATGAGAGTATCCCATAAATAGGTAACAGGTTAAATAAGGCATGACCCATTCATGCATAGAGTGGTATACAGCTCTGAAAAGGGATGGGCTCTTCCATCTATAGTATGGTGCAATTGCTGTGCTAAACCAACACTTTTTTTTAAAAGGGGGGAACAAAACAGTGTTATGTATGGTGTTCTACTTTCTAATGTTAAACTTATAAAAATCAGAAGGAAGCTCTTCAGAAGGCAACATTAGAATCTGTGGGGGGAGCTGGGTATCTGAGATCTGGGGAGAGTGGGAGTTTCTCCCAATACATCTGATTGTGCTTTTGGACCTAGGATTGTCTGAATGCACTTGCTTATTCGAAATATTTAATTAAATTTAAATTATGAAAGCTAAGCATTTTTTAAAAATGAAAGAATCTTGCATAAAGAGTGTTCAAGTCCCGGGCCTCCCCGGTGGCGCAGCGGTTGAGCGCTGGGCTGCGAGGCTGCCCGCAGCTGCTGCAGCGCCAGTTCGTTCCCCGGCTGCCAGTGAGGGTGCCACAAAAAAAAAAAAAAAGAGTATTCAAGTCCTTTCTCAATCCTGTCCATGGAGGATCCTTGCTGAGAATACACGTGACATTTGCTGGGACCTCTGCTGGGGGCAGTTTCCCATAGCGAGCTGGAATCCTGCTGCATGTGGCTTGCCCAAGAGTGCTCCTCTGCCCTTTCCAATGGGACACAGAGCCAGTCCCGCCTGGGCCCAAGTATATTCATTCACACAATGGAGATAAGCTCTCCTGCATCCCCAGGTTGTTGCCCCGAAGAGCAAATTTCATTTTTAATGCTTGGTTTTCAATGGTATTAAACATGCTTTTGCGGGCCTCCCCAGTGGCGCAGCGGTTGAGCTCTGGGTTGTGAAGCTCCCCGTGGCCTCTGCAGCGCCAGTTCCATCCTCAGCTGCTCCCCAGGTGCTCCCCGGCCACCGGAGGAGGGTCCCACATGGCGCGCAGACCTCTCCTGCCGCCCGCTGCTCCCCTCAGCAGTGTACTTCGGTCCTTCTGCCTGCTCTGCTCCCCGCTCTGGCCCTGGTGAATTCTCTCACCCTCCTGCGCTTCTGACTGTACCCAGTGCTTGTATAAACAAACAAACAAACAAACAAATAAATAAATAAAAATACATGCCTCTTAAAAAAAAATAAAATAAAAAAATAAAAAACATGCTTTTGCAAACTCCAGTTAGCTTTTCCAAAGTAATCCTTCTTTTCTATCCTTCAAGGCCTGCTGAAGTTCTGCCTCCTCCAAGAAGCCTTCCTGGACCTCCCTTACCAACCCCTCTGCCTGTTTCTCTCACTGGCATACTTTCAGGAGCTGTCAGTTTTCCTGTCTTGACTATAGGATCACCAGAGGTTGAGCACACAGTGGGTGCTCACTGCAAGACTCTCAAGTCAAGAGGAGCAGTCTGGTTCTTACCTAGAGATTTTCAGGAGGACTTTCAGTGTTGGGCAAACAGAAGTTCAAATCCTAACTGAACCACCTGCTTGCTGTGTGACTTTGGTGGCCTTTCTCATCTGCAAAACGGAGGCACTGATTGGATTGTCCGGCCTGGTTTACGGGTGTGCGAAGCTCTTGGCAGAATCCATGGCCCTCAGTTGATATGCAATGGGCACAACAGGGCCAGCAGGCCAGCCCAGGGATTCAACCTGCAGCAGCTGGTGGCTTAGGGTAAATTACTAAACCTCTCTGTGTCTATTTCCTTGTATATAAAATTAAGATAATAAGAGCCTCAATCTTCAGGGATGCTGATGGATACATTTAAAGCACTTTGAAGAGTTCCTGACCCATAGTAGATGCTTAGTAAGTTTTAGCATTTTTTTGTTTGTTTGTTTTTTAATACCACAGTAGAAAGCACGTAAGTCGAAGTGACAGAGAACACAGGGCAGAAAGCCACTGACTTTTTCTGGGTGTGACCAGGGTCAGATCCAAGGCCCTATCTGTGACTCCATTTTCCAGTGTCTGAAATGGAGAGGTTAGGGCTCTGCGAACCCCTGTGGCCCTCCCAGATCTGATACCGCGGTATGGGGGGCACTGCTCACCAGGTCTCCGCAGCTGCCAGAGAGGAGGAGATCTTTCACTGTGAGGTTGCAGCCTGGGGGCGAGTTTGGTAGCTGGGTTTGCTCCTCTGGGTACAGGCCCGGTCTCCACATTTCTGATCAGGGCAGATGGGGATGAAGACAGGGAGAGTGGTGGGTGGGACGCCCTGAGATCCCAGCTTCTGCCTACCCCCTTCAGCAAGGTTCCCAGTATTGACACCAATATGCTTAGGACTTGGGGCACAGCTTGGAACCCCTAGGCCGGGATTGAAAGGGTATCCCTGGCTAACGACTCTGCTCTAAGGTGGGAACCCAAATTTATTAGGGCATTGTCAAGCGATCCACTGCCAAATATTATTGCCCAGCATTGTAGGTTAGATGTTTGCAGCCAAAGGGCCTATTTCTTCTGGAGAAGAAGCAGGCCCCAGGTCTAATTCACCTCTGGTTCCCCCTCACCTGGTGCCTGCTTCACTGCAGGCAAGGCCCTTGTGAGAACAGGCTTTAGTTCTAATCCCAAAGGAGTAGAGCTGTGTGACCTTGAGTAAGTGCCCAGGTATCTCTAAGCTGCTTTATCAACTCTCCAAAGGGACTCATAAGAGCTCACGCCTCATTGCAAGTCTCAAGGGGCAAAGGACACCCTGCTGGGGGTGTTCTTGAGTGAGGCCAGTTTCCAGAACAGGAGGGGCACCCTGGGGCCCAAGGAGGCTACTTCTTTGTATCACTCAGGCTGGTGAGGTACAAAGATAAGGGGAAGCGTGATGCCTGGTGCCTGAGTCAGCCTGCCAGGGGTGCATCCCAGCTCTGACTTCATGAAATCCTATTAAACCTGATGGGGACTCAGTTTCAGCATCTGGAAAGTGGGCCCATGACGGCACCGCTCTCAAAGGGAAGGTGTATGGGCACCCACCAGGGGCAAGGCAAAGGAAGGGTGCAGAGGCTCAGAACTCACCTAGATCTATGGCCACGGAGGCCTCGAGCACTTGGGCCCCTGGCCCAGGGGTCCTGGCAGGGCAGGAGGTCCCAGGACTGTAGGAGGGGCAAGGCTCTGAGGCATGGTGATCAACTGGGGTGGCAGCCGGTCCACTGCGTGGAGGGGTGTCCTGGGGGTCAGAGGGCAGGTCCTCAGAGATGCCACTGTCACTGGCTGCGGGAGACCAGCGGGGAGAGCTGGGCAGCGAGTCTGCAGAGCCCAGAATGGAGTCGAGGAAATCATCAGCGTCTGGGCCTGGCAGGGCCTGCGGGGTGGAGGGGGAGGGTGTGCTAGGGTCTATGTCTCGCTCAGGATTGCTGTGTGGCCATGAGTAAGCCGCTGCTCCACTCTGGGCCTTACCGGCCTTTCTGTAAGGAGTTGCTAGGGTGTGGACACAGCCCCGTGGCGTGGGAGCACCGTCCAACAGTGTCCCAGCAGAGCCCTGAGTTTGCGTGTGGACTTGACTCCAAAGGGCTGCTTGGCCCCAGGCAAGTCACCAACCCTCCCCCGGCTTCCTCCACCTGGCAGAAGCTGCCCACCCCTTGGAGTCCTTGAAAGGTTCAACACAAAATTGTGTTTTGCTAAAATCAAGCACCGAGAGTAAATGTTCTTGGGGCTGGGCCTGAGCAGCTGCCGAGGGGGGGGGGCAGGCAGGTCCTCACCTGGTCCTCAGCACAGCCCCAGTCCTCGCCCAGCTCCACGTGCCTCAGGATGCCATCCTGCCGGTCGAACAGAAGGTCCAGCAGCTCCAGGCTGTCCATGGGGCCCTCGGGACAGAGGGAGGAAGCCATCTGGGAGGGGAGGGAGCAGACATGAGAATCACAGGCCGCTCTTCCTCCCACCCATCTGTCCTGGGGTCTCCCTTCAAGCTCAAGCCCTGCTCAGCCCCAGGGCAGGTTCAGGCTGCCCCTCCCGAGCCTCCGTCTCCAAAACCGTGATTCAGGGCTGGCACAGGCTCTTGCGGCAGGAGAAATAATTTCTTTCAAAGTGCCAGACAGATGCACATGTAGGGGCGACCAGCCAGGTGGATTCCTGAGAGGCCAACCAGCCCTCCCATGTATTCAAGAGAGGCCCCTGCCCACGGCCCAGCCCCGGGGGGACAGCAGGTGGGGAGGCTGGTGGGGAACCGAGAAGAAAGACGGGAACAGCAGGAGTGGAAGTCCAGCGTCACCACACAGTCTCTCTGGGCCTCAGTCTTCCCGTCTGCACAATGGGAGTGGGGGTTGCTTCCAACTCGGGGAGTTGGGGCCAGATTCCTGGCCAGCGCCCCCCATGGACCCCCCCCACGGACCCGAGCAGACTCACCTTTCCAGCTGCCAAATCCCCATTCATGAGCCCACGCAGCTCTGCCTTCAGCTACTTTCTGTGTCTGCTCTAAACCGCGGGCTCACCCCACCACCAGGCTCCAGGAACGTCTCTGTGGTTCTGTCAGCACCCCCAAAAGATGCTGAAATAGTCCCAGGGAGCTCCCAGGCCCGCCCCAGGTGCTGACTGGAGGGCTGGGGAGACAGACAGGTGTGAGGGCCAGTGACGGCCAGGCAGGCTGGGGAGGGGCGGGAAGACCGTTATCTGATGTTTTGTGCTTTTCTAGCCACAGGGGCAAAGGGCAAAGTCTGGGGTGCCTCAGCTCTGCCATGACCTCTGCCCTACTTTTGGGGACTGTTTCTCTGCTGAGTCCCCGGACGGATGTCGGGTTCCAACAGAGTCCAGGTCCCCAGCCTGGGTCTTGTTCGTTCCTAAGACAGGCCAAAACCAAGAGGCCCAGCCCCCTGAAGTGGCTCCCTCCACCCCGAGATCCTGCCATCCTCCCGTTCCCCATGATGGAATCCTCAAAATCAGTTTGTTCTAGAATCTTTTATCGTTCATTTATTCAAAAAATGTTTATTGAGCCCAGCTTGTTCCTATCTCGGGGCCTTTGCACTTGCTGTGACTCTGCCGGGAATCCCCTCCCTGCCGGCCCCCCCCCCATTGTCTTCACTTTTGATATTTGTGTATCTACTTGTTTATTGTTTTCCTTCATTCCTCTGGTCCTTACCCTAAATGTGAGCACCATGGGGCTAGGATAGTCACTTTTGTTCTTTGACAGGTCCCCAGTATCTAGAAAAGGCGACTATTATACAATAGATGCTCAGTTAACTCTTAGTAATGAGTGTCTCCTACGTGCCAGGTGCTGTGTTAGACACCAGGACCAGTCTGTGAACACACTAGTTTGTAAATGCATAAACAAACGAGTAAATGGGTAAATAGGTGCTACTCAGAAACTAAATGTGACCGTGGCAAAGTGCTGGAGAAGGCCCCTTTCAGAATGATGAGAAAGCGACACTCGTAGGGAGAATGAAGAAACAGCGTGTGCAGGGATTTCCCTGGTGGTGCAGTGGGTTGAGCGCTGTGCTGTGAAGCTGTCCTCAGCAGCCTCGGCAGTGTGGGTTTGATTCCCAACTGGCCAGGGAGATACCCACATGGTGCGGCAGACTTCTCCGGCCTCGCCCGCTGCTCCCCTCAGCAGTGTCTTTGGTCCGTCTGCCTGTTCCACTCCCCACTCTGTCTCTGGTGAATTCTCTCACCCTCCCGTGACTCTGACCTGTACCCCATTTCTTGTATAAATAAATTTTTAAAATCTTAAACAAAAAAGAAAGAAAAAGAAACAGCATGTGCAAAGGTCCTGGGGCAGGGCTGTGCCAGCATGTTGAGGAACAGTAAAGAGATCCTTGTAGCAGGAGCCAAGTGATTGAGGAGGAGGAGGTAGTCAGTGCAGGGAAGGAAGCAGGGGAGATCGTGCGGGACCATGTGTTCTGTGGCAAGGAGCTGCTTTATATTAAATATAGCGGGAAGCTACCAGGGGCCTAATGAACGGATGCCTTTTGTATTCTGGGCATGATCCTAGATACCAGGTTTTCAGCATAACTACAACACACTCTCCTTGCTCTCATGAAATTCACACCCTGATGTCTATTTCTCAATGGACCTATCATGATTCATTCATGCAACAGAAATTTAAAGAGGGGGGCTTCCCCGGTGGCGCAGCGGTTGAGCGCTGGGTTGCGAAGCTGCCCGCGGTCTCTGCAGCGCCGGTTCGATCCCCGGCTGCTCCCCGGCCACCGGAGGAGGGTCCCGCATGGCGCGCAGACCTCTCCTGCCGCCCGCTGCTCCCCTCAGCAGTGTACTTCGGTCCTTCTGCCTGTTCTGCTCCCCGCTCTGGCTCTGGTGAATTCTCTCACCCTCCTGTACTTCTGACTGTACCCAGTGCTTGTATAAACAAAAAACAAACAAACAAACAAATAAATAAATAAATAAACATGTCTCTAAAAAAAAAAAAAGTTAAGTACCATCCTATAAAAAAAAAAAAAAGAAATTTAAAGAGGGCCTACTATGTGCCATAATAACTTACAGCAAAGCAGTTGCTCCTAGGGGACACTAAATGATGCCTGGAGACTGGTTGTTGCAACTGGGGGGTGAGGGGTTCTGGGATCAAGTGGGTGGGGGCCAGGGATGCTACCCAGCACCACCACGGCCAGAAGGGCCCTCCACAGAGAGCAACCCAGCCCCAAATGCCCCAGTGCTGTGCTGGCGAAGCTACAGCAATGTCTCCTCAGTTGCTGTGATTGTGATCTTGCCCTTGGCCTTGGATCTTCTTTCCTTTTAAATCCTCTGTGTTGGATTTCTAAGGTGTTTGGTTTGGCTTGGCTTTAGCGATCCCAGTCACAATATTTATTCACCCTTTGCTGTGAAGGCACTTTTCCAGCGCAGTCACGGTGGGTATATAAAATAGGTGAGGTTTGACTTCTGGACCTCTCTGTCTGCCTCCTCCCCCCCTCATTTATGACTTTCCATTACCCTAGTGGCCTTAAGCTAGGACTCTTTCTCCTCCTCTTATCAAACCTGCCGGAAGAAAGGATCTGATATTACTCATTCCACCTTCAAGGAGCTCAAGAGCCCTTGGCCTCCCTCCCTCCCTCCAAGGATATTGTACCTAAAAATTTTTGCTTTAGAATTACGGGCTTTCAAAGCCTTTTGTACACACCAGTGAAGAGATTTTAGGTATTTGTGAACAAGTAAGATGAAGACAAGCATTTGAGGGTTGGGAGGACTTGACATACTATCTCATTTATGGAACACAACTACATACTTCACTGCGATGCTAAGCTGAAATGTGCAATGATGTAATTTATAAAAAATGCATGTATATTTGTTCTTAACTCACAGTTCCAGGCTCACAACTCCAAAAACCCTTGGAATTTCCTAAGCATTGAGAGTGGTAAAGGTGTTCCTGTGAATGAACACCTCTGGGAAACACCTAAGGATGGAGACAAACCATGTAATTAAAAGGAGGGGACTTCTAGTCTCACCCTCCTGACTTCTGGCAAGGATAAGCCCCAAAGGAGGGGACTTCGGAGAGCAGCGAGGCGGGTGAGCACATAGAGGTTGGGGGAGAAGGCCTGTGGAGAGGGCGTGAGGCTCTGTGTCCCTTCCCCATACCTTGCTCTATGCGCCTCTTCCAATTGGTTGTTCCTAAATAGTATCCTTTGTGTTGATAAGTTGGTGATTTGGTGAGTAAATGGGTTTTTGGAGCTCTGTGAGATGCTCTAGAAAATTAATCAAACCCGAGGAGAGCATCCTGGGAATCTCTGATTTGTAGCCAGTTGGTCAAAAGCCCAGGTGACAGGCGGTGACTGGCACCTGCAATGCAGAGCAGTCTGGGGAGACTGAACCCTTAGCCTGTGGACTCTGAGGCTTTCTCTGGGTCAAAAGTGTCAGAATTGAGCTGAATGAAGTCAAATTTTAGTAGCCAATTTGTGTCTGGAGAACTGTTAAGTGCATGCATAAACCCTCCCCCACACTCACACACCACATTGGAAATTGGGTCCAAGAGCCCTATTCAGAATAGACTCGGAATAGATTCCACCAATGTGTTTAAGTGTGAGATATAACCCACAATGGAAGCTATAGTCGCACAAGATTAGGGAACACTGTGTTAACCAATGGCTTTGCAGGACTTATCAGAGCCTTTACCGGACTCTGTAAAGCTCTTGGAGGAGATAGCATTTGTAGCCTTTGCCCAACATAATTGTGTTCACAACTCAGTTTTGTTTTTAATTTTTACTTGATTTATTCTGAACCATCTCTGCCATATGAAAACATCTGAAGATCCCTCACTGGAATGATTTAAAAACAAAAATCACAGATAACATGAGAGGTTGGTATAAGATGTGGGGTAACTGGACTCACCCACTATTGGTGGGTACCAAGATGGTCCAACCCATTTCACTTTGGGAAGCTTTGGGAAACTGGGCACACTTTTATAAAATTTAGTGTTTTGGGGTGGGTGTGAGGGGGGGAGAGCACAAGGGACTGTGGTGATATAAGAAAATAAATTAATTTAATTTAAAAAATACCTAGAAGAGGGCCTACCTGGTGGTGCAAGGGGTTAAGACACAACCTATGAAGCTAACCGCAGTCACTGCAGCACGAGTTTGATCCCCTGCCAGGGAGCAGCCCACATGGCGCAGCAGACCTCTCCTTTTCCCGCTGCTCCCCTCAGCAGTGTATTTCAATCAATCTGCCTGTTCTGTTCCCCACTCTGTCTCTGGTGAATCCTCTCACCGCCCCCGCCCCCACACACCTCTGGCCTGTAACCCAACTCTTGTATGCATAAAAATAAAATAAATCTTAAAAAAAATACCTAGAAGAAAAAGAAAACATGCTTTTAACATATGATTTAGCAATATCACTTCTGGGTACTTACTTAAGAGAAATGCAAACGTTCACAGAAAGACTTACACATGAATGTCTCTAGGAGTTTGCAAACTGGCAACAACTCTAACATCCAACAGCAGGAGAATGGAGTAACAAACCAGAATAAACATACAATGAAACATTACTCACCCATTAAAAGGAATAAATTACAAATGCATGCAATATACTGCAGAATCTCAAACACATTGTGCTAAAAGGAATCAGTCACAAGAATACAGTGTATGATTCCTTATAGAAGCCCAGAGAAAGGAGAAAGTCTTCTTTGGTGATAGAAAATGGTTGGCATAGAATGGACAAGTGGGTGAAAAGGGACATGAAGGAACTCTCTAAGATAGTGAAAATATGCTATGTTTTTTTTTAAGATTTATTTATTTATTTATGCATAGAAGAATCTGGGTGCAGGCCAGAGGTGGGGGGTGAGAGGATTCACCAGAGACAGAGTGGGGAGCAGAGCAGGCGGATTTACTGAAACACACTGCTGAGAGGTGCAGCGGGAAGACAGAAGAGGTCTGCTGTGCCATATGTGGGTCAGCTCCCTGGCCAGGGATTGAACTCAGGTCAGAGGTGATTGTGATAGTGCTGAGAATTAACCCCAATGCCACCAGGAAGGCCCAACCATGTTTTATTTTTGGTGGCGGTTATGTGAGTGCATGGCCCTGCAT